GAGCTTGGCAAGGCTTCACGGCATCTTTGTGGGGATGGTGCGTGTCTGGCAGCTAAAGCTTTTCTTCAGCACTGAAGCCACTGAGTCGTCAAGCCTGCGTGGCTGTGTGTCGTGAATCTAACAGGAGGGGCAGCAGCGGCGGCAAGCATGGCCCGTATTCCAAACCTCGCCATCAGTTCGCCATCAGACCCAACAAGTTCGTGATGCTCATGCAGATGCCCTCTTGCGTGACATGGATGACCGTGCCTCTGCCAGGTGAAGATGCACCGAGCGCAGGTGCAAAGAAGCTGCCAGGTGCGCAAGCCACACGCCCCGGGGCCTTTAAACTCTTGTAGAGCCCTCCCTCGAGCCTACCAAAGGCCTTAGCACGAATTCCAAAATGCTCTGCCAGAATGCCTGTGACATGGCAACACGTCCCCCAACTCCTAGCAGGCTACCAGGGCAAGCTTGCGCAATGCCTTTCGGCACTTCGGAGGCCAAGCCGGTTGCGGAGCCTTGTCTCGACGCCCCTTTCGCAGACTTCTAGGGTTTTAGATGGGGTCTTGGGATAAACCAATCGAACTTTAGGGCGTTTAGGGTTTCGTAGCTTGGGGGTCCGCATCTTGGCGGTGGAGGGTAATGAAGAAGCTCCGACAGGCAGCAGGCAGGTGGTGTGCTGAGGATTCTGCAGACATGTCCGGACAAGATATCAGTGGAATCTTACGCAGGATCCGGAGTTTCTGCATAGCTTTGCACGCCCGAATGGCCCGCACTGTGACTAAGTCGGCCCTTGCGTGTCAATGTATTTATTCTCTGCGCTCACCTGAAGAATAATACCCCTAAGCCCTAAGCGTCCCTAAACGTCCTCAACCCTAAACCCTAAACTTTTCCTAATCCCGAAACACTAGAAAGGAGGATCAGGCCATCCCTGCCAGGCTCCACGGCGAGCTGTCCTCAGAGCTCCGAGCCCGCGCGCCAGGCTTCGCTCTCCTGCGAGAGATACTCCAATAGAATAGAATCCCCTTAAAAGGGGTACCCCTCTTATACCCCAAATAGAACAGAATCCCCGTAAAAGGGACCCCCCAAAAGGGTCCCCCTACTTTCGGGATTTCCCCATTTGGAGCTTGGCATTTGGGGGATGCCGGGGGCTGTTGATGCCAGGCAGAAGCTCCGAGGACTCCGAAGCTTCTGCCTCGGAAGTGGAGCGCAGGGCATTCCGTAAAACGCCTAGTTACACAAAATAAGAGGCCACTAAACCCCCCAAAAACATGGGAAATTGTAGCCCAGAATTATAGTCTAGTGGCTTTCAGGGTTGTTCCTGGCGCGCACCAGCGGAGTTGTTTTCTGAGGCCATCACTCGTCTTTTCCAGCAGATAGACAAGGCCGCAGTTCGTTTGATATGAGGGCTTCCGCCGGTCCTTGACAAGACAGAGACGGCAGGCGCAGCATCTCATTGACAGCGTCTTGCCAAGCACCGGAAGCAGCCCGCTCACGGGGGCCGGGTCCTCAGGTTGCCAATGTTCTCAAGTTGCCCACACCAGCTTCAGTCTTGCAACATCATGCAAGACTGGGGACCCCGTTCCTGCGCGTCGCAGATGTGCACACACAAACACACACACACACACACACACACACACACACACACACACACACACACACACACACACACACACACACACACACACACACACACACACAACCACACACACACACACACACACCACACACACACCACACACACACACACACACACACACACACAAACACACACACACACACACACACCACACACACACACACACACACACACACCACACACAACACACACACACACACACACACACACACACACACACACACACACACACACACACACACACACACACACACACACACACACACACACCACACACACACCACACACACACACACACACACACCACACACACACCACACACACACACACACACACACACACACACACAACACACACACACACAGACACACACACACACACACACACACACACAACACACACACACACACACACACACACACACACACACACACACACACACACACACACACACACACACACACACACACACACACACACACACACACACACACACACACACACACACACACACACACACACACACACACACACACACACACACACACACACACACACACACACACACACACACACACACACACACACACACACACACACACACACACACACACACACTGACACTGTTCAACTCCATATGTCAAGAGGGGCTTTACGAGGATTAGTGAGGTCCTGAACCCCAAAAAAACTTAAACCCTACTACGGATCCCCACAAAGGGCTTTCAGCCTCGAGGTGGGTTTGCCTTCGTCGAGTACGAAGCAGCCTTCCAGTCGGAGCCTCTGCTTCCTGTCGGGTTCAGTAGGGTTCACAAACTCACAAGGTCTGGGGGTATACCGGATATGTGAGGTCTGGGGGTCAGTTCCAGATCTCCGGGCCCCTCAAGAAGAGAGCTACGCACTCCAAAAGGCCATCTTAAGCCCAACAAGAAGCCCTCAAGCCATCCTAAGGCCCGAAGCCCCTGAAGCTGAAACAGCTAAGAACCCACAGCTCCCCGTCTCTCCTGAAGGCCCTGAGGCGGAAAGGCCGCTTCCGGAGGCACGCGGGGTTAGGGGCTTTGGGTAGTTACAGGGCACGTCTATGGGGTTTAGGGTTTTCGGCTTTGGTCTTTTTAGGGAGGTGGCGGATGGCATGGAACATGCTTACGGGCTGTGATATGGCGGCCTGGTGCACGTGCCAGCCTTAGGAAACCAAGTCATAAGGCTATACTGCCGCAAAAGGTGCTGCAAAGTGGATGCTTCTGCATCGCCTGGCTGATGCTTCTTCCACGAATGCCTCCATGGATAGTTCCTTCAACGAGGACCTGAAGAATCTCGTCCGCGGCGTCTCCACTCCATCTTCACTTGTGGGCCGGCTGCTGAAATGTGAAGTTGCAGCTTTCCAGGAGACTTATCGAACAAGCAAGTATTATGACATAGCCGGCAGATACAGACGCAGCAAGAGGCGAATACGAGTTTTGGCGCTGTGCCGCTTCATCTTGCTAGGTTGGCCATTAGAGGGAGGGGGCCTTGCGGGATCTTCCAAGGATCTCCTCCAAGCAAAGATTCCGAAGAGGCTGGGACACGCAGGGTGGTCAGAGCATCTCGCTAGGCAGGCTAAGCTGAGAAGGATGGCAAGTCAGACTTGCTGCCCTGTTTTTGTTTGCAGACGATGGAACAGCCCAGGTCCTTCTGATGAAGTTGGACATCAACGAGATACGCGTCGCTGCCGAGCTGGACAAGCAGGCCCTGGTCGATCTGGAAGCTCCGAGTATCCGGCTACCGCGAAGTGTAGCTAGACAATTCTAACAATTCCGCCTTTCCTGCTCCAATCCCCACAGCCACAGCATCTGTTGCAGCTTGATGTTGCATCAGCGGTCTAAATCCGCTGCTACCATCCCCTGCGCAGAAAATGATCGCGGATCACTGCGACGAGCTGGACGACCTCGTGCGTCGCCACGACAAGGAGCTTGTGCACGGGCATGGAGTCGGGACTTTCAGATTCTATGTTGCTAGGATGCAGTACCATACCATAAAACCACATCTTTCATCACGACCCTCTCTACACATGCAAGATCTGAAAAACCCCTTAGTCGGGTTTCATCGGGATGCTGGACACCAGAGCTCCATGCATTGACACCTCCCAGCTCCATGATGGACCCTGAAAAGTTCTGAGGGGACCCCCAGAATCCATCTGAACCGCCCAAAAAAAGGCTCCTTGACCAGATGAGCTCTTGGAAAAAGCAACTCAATCCCAAACACAAAACAGACAGAGAGAGAGGGAGACAGCCCCAAACCCCCAAAAGCCGCGCCGAAGCTCTACGCTTCTGTCGTTGAGGCGCTCTGTCTTGAAACTCCGCCCAAATCTCGCCAACTCCCTAAACCTGAACCATCCCGAACCCCTCACAACTTACATCCTCTGATGAGGTTCGTGAATCTACCTTGGGACGCAGTGAACCCCAAAAGGGTTTATGGTCAATATGCCTTAATAGGGAGTATAGTAGGAATAGGGTATATGACCCCAATTTGAGCGTTCATTTGGTCTCCAAGGTAGGGCAGGGTGTTGGCATCGGTGCAGTCTCAGGGGATTGAACAGCCAAACAGGCCCGGATCTCCGTGCCTTCGGTAGGTTGCCGTGGCTAAAGCCTCGATACAGAGCTGGGGAAAGCTGGGGGCAGTTCCGAGCCCTAGAGGCCTTCTACCATCCGACCCAAGAGCAGAGGTCTTTGCAAACCTGCATTGCGCATCCATTTGAGAGCCATGCATTCGAGCCAGATCAATGCCCCTCCTGCTACGGTGGGACATCGACTCAAAAGGTCGCTCCTTGGCATCTGTGGGTACCCTCGCGGGCATCGAGCCGACGACCTCAGGCAGCGTGCGGAGCAGGAGACTCCAGGCTGTTAACAAGCATGCTTGCAAAGCTCCTTGGACATCTTTGGACCCAAGTCCGAGTCCTAAGCATCCTGAAAGTTAGCCCGTTGTTTGTGTCATCTGTGCAAAGTCCTAGCGGCTTGACGGTATTTCGGAGGAGCCCATACCTACCGCAAAGGCCTGCCTTGCATCAGACCCTGCGGAGCTCACTCGCTACTTCACCCATGAGCACCTGGGTTGAAGCTTGGGATCTACGAGTACCACCAGGTTTCATGGAGTTTGTCTCATCAAAGTCTTCTTTCGAGGACTCAAACCTCGGCCAAGGTATCTTCAAGGCGAGTTCTTCAAAGGCAGAAAGTATCAATCGTCATCACTCGATCAGATTAAGACCTTCACATACAATGCCCCAGATGGCAGCGTGGAGGTGTGGCAACATGCATTTGATTTGCGAGGCCTCAGCCAGTGCCAGGAGGATGTCATCGTGCTTTATCACTACACCAACGAGCTGTGTTTCCACAACATTGGGAACTTAGATCAGATGGCCGCGGAGTTGTTTGCCTCTTTGGAGGATGGCCGCGCTCACTTTGGGAAAGGTATTTATGCTTCCCAGCATGAGCCGGCAGTTTGGGGAACTCGGCTCCGTATCCTCATGAACAACTACAGCAACAGCAACCCCCTCAGCTTCGATGCTGCCGGGCCAGAGCCCCAACGAGTGGCACGCGAATGGGGCCATGAGAACCCACAAGGGCACCGTGCGGCCTTTTGCATTCCGCTGATCGTGCCGAAAAACACAGCCTACTTTATTTTCGAGCGACAGACCCCCGACATGGCCATGAGACGAGTGCCTGGGCACAGCAAACCTAGCCTTGTAGCTAGGCTAGTTGCAACTTCAGTTTTTTTTTGCTTCCTCGTAGTTTTTGGTCTTCTTCGGGCCTCAAGGCTCTACCCCCCCGCGATGGGAATCCCCCCGCCCTGCCCGCTGCAGGAAGGCAGCGAACCCAAACCTTAAACCCTAAAAGGAGATGGTGGGTGGCAAACCCTATCAACGCAAGCCTAAACCATCAAAAAACATGTGGCAAACCAAGCCCTAAACCCTAAAAGGAGATGGCAGCATGCCCTAAACCCAAAAAAAACCATCGGAGACCTTAAAACCCAAAAGGCATTTGGCAAACCCAAACCCCCCAAACAAGGAGATGCTGGGGCAAACCCCAAACCCTACAAGCTTTCTGCGAGATGTTGGGTGGCAAACCCAAAGCTCTAAAAGGAGATGTTGCGTGACAAGCCCTAAACCCTACAAGAAGGATACGGGGGCAACCGAAAGGGAACAGGGAAAGAAACCAACCCTCAGCAGTCGCCTATATGGATTTCCCAGATCGAACCAGAAACAAGAACACCCACCCCTACGGGGACAGGATAAGGGAGAAGGGACGGGACTACTCCAACCCGTTAAACCCAACCCCAGGCGTACGTACTTTTTCAACAAAAGCTGACGGCTCTTGGCCATCTTGAGCCAAATAAGATTTCCGGGTTCATTGACCCTTCCAACCCTCAACACTAACTCCTTTCTACAATACCAATTGCAGCTCCGCACTCCCCCTGTCCTAGGATTTCCTAGGACACCTTGGAGGTGCAGATATTTTGGCCAAAAACTGCCATTAAGGCAGCAGCCAGCTGCTTGAAATGCACAATATGGTTTAACGTCATCCAGGACGAAATTATAGAACATTGGCTAACCCACTAACCACAGAGAATCTCTTTTCACCATGATCCTCTTATCATTGAAGACTCTTTGGCCTTCTTCACCACAAACCGTGGTCTTCGCTACGCGAAAAGCTACTGACTTCTACTATCAGGGATTTCCATACCCTTAATAGTAACCACCACCTTGTCAGCACATTGGCTGTTCCAGCGCACCTGTCTCCAGAAAGAGAAAAACCATCCCTTCATCCATGCCATCCAATCACTTCTTTTTCCGATTGTTGGCAATTTTGAGGTGAAGTTGCAGCAGAATATACTCCAGGTCCGAAACTGTAAGAACAGGATCCTGCACACACCTTTGAATTGAGGATACCAATCCTTCTCTCTTTGCGTCCTCAATCGCTTGGCAAGATTGACCCAGCTCTGCATTCACAGTGGTAGACACTGGTGCATCCGCATCAGATGGACGATCCTTTTCCTCAGGACCTTGCACCATTACCACCTCTTCCTTTTTGGGACTCTGACTTTTCTCCTTCTTCTTTGTCTTTCCACCGACATTTGACTTTGTGCGCGTTTTCGAGGCTTTTTCCACTGCAGAAACCACCACATTGGACGATGATCCACCCTTCTCAATGATCGTCGGCATCTTCTTCGGCTTTGGAACCATGAGAGTGTAAGGATCTTCGATAGCTGCAGCTTTCCTCTTCTTTTTTACCTTTTTCTTCTCCTCCTCAACGGCAACCTCCGTCTCCGAAGTCTCAACCACTTCTTTTTCGGCAGGAATATCCTTGCTGGACTCCCTTTCTAGGGACCTCTTTTTGCCTCTCTTGGAATCTTTCTCTTCTCCCAAATTGGCTCGCTCGTACCATATCCTCAGGTCATTGACCCATTCTTCCACCTCCGCGAGCGAAACCTCATACGACTTCACTACTTCGAGAAGTTCCAGCACGGTCAACATACCAGTGGTCCACGAAACCCATTCTTGATCCATTTGGTCAGTATCTCCAGTGAACTTCAGGAGTTTGAACAATGGGTCCGCCTCTGCTCGAGCCAAATCTGGCTTGCCATTGGACAGAAATGGAATCGCCTCCATCAACAGTTCCGTCATTTTGGTATCATCGTCATAAACCATAAAATCCTCCTCACCATCATCGAACTGTTCAGGAGAGATCTCCTTTTCTCCACCATTTGCACCAGAACCTCTCCTTGGACCATCCCTTGGGGGCGTCCTTGGAGACCTTGGCCTCTGTTCATCCAGCGGAACACCATGCTCGAAGACACACCTGTCACCATAACGACACTTCCCAGACCGAGCAAACTGGATGCACCTCACACCAGTTGCATCATGCGAGAACCCACAATCCTTTCCAGCGAAACAGTCTCTCCCTGCCACATAGTATTTGCACCAATACGAATGTAGCACCACATCATCTTCTGAATGGATGAATTTGCAGTCTTCACCAAATTTGCAGCGATCTTTCCCCTTGCCGAACCAATAGCAGAAGCCTTTCTTCCTCTTCTCCAAGCGCTCTGCCTCGTACCGGTCCATAGGGCGATTCTGCTCTACATGAACATTGCCATGTACCTGGGAACTGCTCCCTTCACCCGACGTGCTATCAGTATTTGATGCTTGGAGTACAGCTGGAAAACCTGGCCTTGGTCCTACCACCTTCATGATTGGTTTTCCGCCAGCTCCTGAGCCATGCTGAGACGATCCAAAAACATTGAACATCTTCGTGAAGGCCTTTCTAGTGCCAATCTTCTGCACCCTTTTGATTGGACGTTTCATTGCTCCAACCTTGCATCCAGATGCGTTCAAACGACACAACCTCCTATACCCAGCTCTATATCCCTTCTTCCAAAGAGCCATAAGAATTTTAGAGGCAGTAACATTCTCCACCTCTACCTTTTCCAATGGTCCCTCACTTCCCGGAACAAACCCATCCATATCTGAAGACCTTTCCATCTTTTTTGACACCACTTCGTCGAGGTAGTCTTCCGAGATCCAGGGTAAGTTCCTCTTAGAGGAAGGATTGTCATCATTGCTTGGTCCTTCACCAGGATACCCTTTTGTGCTGTCAAAGATCTTACCAATAGTGCGGTCCTGCATAGAGAAATTAGAAGCCACGCGGGAGTACACTGACCACAAGAAAATCCTTGTGTCCGCCAGTCTTGATGACCCACTGGATGTCTCCTCTTCCGGAGAAACTTCTGGCGCTTTGCCATCCCCTCCAGTGTCACCACTTATCTCACCTCCAGCATCTTCAATGGGAATAAGGGATTCATTGTTCCCTTGATCAAGTACCGCATCCTCTGGTCCAAGAACTTCCAGCGCCGCTGTCGAAGGATCCACTTCTTCATCAACATCGTCGTCCATCCTTCTCCAGAGAGCCTCCAATTGATCCGCACAAGTCGCCGCCTGAAGAAACTCCATCAACCGGGCCCTCCCGCGCTGCCAGAGGAATTCCGAAACCATCACCGACCCCTGGGCTCCGAGGTTCAGGAACGGGTGAACCAATTTGGCTACCCTCGCCATAAGTTCAATGTGAACTTCCATGCCTGGACTGCGACTCCAATCATAGGCAATTGCCTCCATAGCAGTTCCAAACTTGTCAGTATTTTTGAATTCCCCTTCCAGACCAGGAGACAACAATGCACCCATCACCGAAAGAGGATAATTTCCCACCGCCGGCAAGCACGGGTTGTCATGGAACGAATGATGCAGGTCACAATAATGTCCTTGATCTCTCCTTTGAAAAAGGAGTGCTCCAGTCCCTAGCTGGGCATTCATTTCATCCACTTGAACCATTTCAGCACATATCCTCTGTGCCATGGACGCCATTGCTGGCCAGACGGAACGATCGGTCAGACCGCGACGCATAACCCAATCAGTTGTTGGCGACTGAATCAGCGTTCCTGGATCATACACCATAACCACCATCGCACCGTCACCCATTGACTGATCAGCATCGTCCTCCAGTGCCAGGTTCTCATCCTGTTCGCTTGCACCCTCGGATGACATGCTAATAACCAAATTTCGATCCATCTTATTGGACCCTTTTTGGCAGTCTCTTTGCCCCACAGGCAACTTGCCAACAGCAACCTTCCAATAAATCCGAGTCAGAAGACCTTTAACCAGCAATTGCTGAAGGTCATTCTTCACCGGACAAACATCCAATATCTTCGCACCATCACCACGGAGTTCATTGCTCCCACCTTCTCCTTCTTTTTGGTCAGTCTCCTCGCCAGAAATTTGCACTGCTCCTTCCAGCGCCGTCTCCTGTCCAGCCACTTCTTGCCCAGGAAGAACTTGAGCGCTTTCAGATACATTCACCTGTCCAGCAACACCTTGCCCAGGTAAAACCTCATCCGTGGAGCCCACCGCCAGCGAACCAACCATAACTGAACCATCCCTTGCTCTTTTTTGAGACTGTTCAGCTCGACGAGAAGGTTGTGGTAGCGAAAAAACTTGTGAAGTCACTTCTTGGCGGGTCTCCCCCCGCGACGCTTTGTCGCGCCCTTCGCCAAGGTGAACCGATTTTTTCGGCCCGTCATTGGGGCCTGAAGAACCACCCTGCGGAACATTGCCACGAATCGCAGTTCTCTGTGAATCCCTTTCTTGCAAGAAGATTTCCTTCAGGCGTTGCGCGGCATTGGTCTCCTCCTCGCTTGAACCGCTTGAGGAAGCGGCATACGAGACCAAAGCCTCCGCCTGTTCATCATCATCCACCACATCTGCCCACGCTCTGCTGAACCGATACGACAACCCACCACGAGGCTTCAGTTCCAGTGGCTTCGGCTTTTCCACCACTTCCGCCGGTTGCACTCGTCGTTGTGACCGAGAGCGTGGCACCTGTCGCACCTGTTTTTTGTCCAGCAAGGGCCTTCCCCTTCTCACAGGGTTTGATCTTGACCGATACTTTTTTGTTGGCGGGTTCACCGGCGGCATTCCAACTCCCACCAACTGCAGCTTCTGTACGCACAGCGGAGACCTCTGCGCAAGCGTCCAAGCATCACGGTACCTGACCTTATCAAAAAGCTCCCGATAGGAGCCTCTCGGCATGGTTTTTGCACCGGAGTCTTCAGCTTCACGCACCTGAGTGAGGGTTCGCACCGCCGCTCTTCCAGTTCCTTTGCTCCCAGAAGATTGTTGTACCCGTACAGATGCATCGGAAGGAACTGCCTTTTCCGGTCCTCCCGGACGATATCGGACACCACCAACCAATTGCAGAATTTTGCATGCGGTCACTTTGTTGATCCCTTTGTCAACCAAATCTTCCACAAAGATGAACTCTTGCAAGTCCGACACATTGGTCACACCAAGCGTAATCATCACCTCACTTACATGAGGGGTATACACCCACAGGTGTTCGTTGCGAGCCATCCAATTTTCAATTGGCTCCTCCGGATTTTGAAGCCGAGTACCAGTGGATGCAGCCACCGAATTCTTTTGTTCATCAGCTTCTGCTTCATCCAGAATACCTTTTTCACCTTCTTTTTGTGACACATTGGTCATTTGCAGCGCTTTTGGTGCCGAGGATGAGGAAGATTCAGCTCCCCCACTCGCAGGTGGCTGAAAAGTGCTTCTGTCCGAAATCTCCCATCCTCTCTCCTTTTCAAACCGGACCTGATTGGCCACCTGTACCAAGTGTTTCAGGAGCGTCAGCCGCTCATCTGACATCTCGTCGTGGGAGTACTTGCAGAAATTTGACCCTTTCCGGCAACGTCCTCTGAGGTAATAATCGAAACAGCAATGGTGGAACCCTGCGTCCCTTCGTGCCTTCCTGGAAGCATTGTCCCAAGATTTGCCGGGCTCCCAAGTCCCTTCCAATGCTATGTCATCGTTGTGAAGATACCTGCATGTAGTCCCATATTTACAACCACCTTGATTGTAATACAGACACAGACGACCTTTTGGCTCACCCGACATAGGTTCACCCTTTGATGCACCTTTGCCAAAATTGTACTTGGCCCGGAAGGCTAAATCCTCCCGCTCCTGCTGTGCCTCATCCACTGTACCTTCCTCTGTGGGAGGGTCACCGATGTTCCCATCCTCATCTTCAGCTTCTTGGCTGTTCTTTGGATCAGTTGACCCCCCTTCTGGCCAACCTTCACCATAACGACGATGCTCATAGGGACAACCATCACCATTGCGACACCTTCCCTTATTGAAGAACTTGCGCAGTTTGCTGTGTCCAGGTGACACAGTCTGTGGAGTCATGTGAGCCTTTTTGTACTGGTCAGGATCCATGTAGGCTTCCATTGGCTTGTTCTCCCTTTTGCTCATGGATTGCACTGCACCATCAAGCGAAAAATAGCTTGGTATCCAACCAAAGCGCGTTCCAAAACTCATCTTCCCCTTGATTCAGCACCGTTGCCACCGCTTCACCCACAACTGGTCGAGTAAATCTCCTTTTTCTGCATGCCAGTTCGAAAAGCGCGTTGTGGTACTGTTTTCGGGAAAAAGTGGTCAACTTCCCCAAGCCTGTGCTTTCTGTACCGTCAGGCTTCCAACCATCATTTTGCAAGATGCCATACGCGCGCCGAGCTTCCGCATTGAGGAATGCATGATCTGCAACACACTCCTGTAGCTCTTCCATTGGGCGACCCAACAGCATCCCAGTAATTTTTCCAACATAGGCCTCATCTTCGTTTCCATTCTCCAGAAGAGCTTTGTAGATCTTTTCTCCATAAAGTTGCCTTTCCTCTCGTTCTTCTGAGGATAACTCCTGTACCACAAGCCCTTCATCGGATTGCTCTTCCTCCTGTTTCCAGTCCCATTGACCGTTGGAATCTTGGTACCATTGACCAGCATACCATGAATCCGTCCACCACGTACTCCAGTCGCTGGGTTTCCATTTACGCAGCGTAGAAGAAGAATCCTCCACGTCCTCTTCCAAAACCAGAAAGGTGTCCAAGATTATGGTACCATCATCTTCCACTCGTTTCACTGTTCCATTGACAGTATCACCAAATTTGAACTGATATGTATTGTTCCCTTCTGCAGGAACCAATACATTCACATCACCATGGTCCAAAAAAGGCTCCATACCCATTGATGCAGCGCACTAGACCCATGATCTCATCTCCCTCTTGATAGCAATGTTTCCCAGGTGATTCCAAGGCTCCCGCTCGGGGCACTTTCTTTGCATGCTCTTCAGAAACCACCTCTGTATCATCGGCTCCTGGCGCATCCTTTGTCTTCACCTTTGGGTCACACTGCTTGTCCTGCTCCACGAGTCCCACAGGCTCATCTCCTTTGTGCTCCTGGATTTCAGGACCTCCCTTTTTTCCGCCAAAGGCTTTGCCTCATCTGCTGCAGTTCGCTCGGTGTCGACTTCCGGCGAACTTCCAGACGGCAACACTTCTCCCTTCATGGGAGTGGACCCATCATTGGAGTCCTTTGTCACACCTTCTGCAGCAGGCAAATTTTCTTCCACTGCAGGGCGATTGAGTTGATCATCCACGGCAGGCACACTTTCTTCCACCGCAGGCTCCTTTGGTTCCATGGTTTCCAAAGGAGAATTGCCACCATCATTGACCACAGCTGCCTCATCGGCTCCGGTGTAGCCCTTGCTATTTCGTTCCTCGCGGCTAACTTCAGGTTGCACCAGTGCGTCCACCTGTGAACCTCCATCATCAGCTGCTGCGGAGACCTGCGCCCCATTGTTGCAGTCGCCCGTGGAACGTAACACCATATGCACCTCAACCCGTGCTTCCTTCGCACTCCAGGTACTATCTGGCGCATCGACCCGCGCATCATTGGCGCTCCAGGCCTCATCTTTCAGATCTTCCGTGTCTCCAGCTATTCCAGAAGCTTCTTTTTCCCCTTGAATGGCAGGATTCTTGGCACCAAACGAAGAGACCTCCTCAGTCGCAACACACAACTTTTTCCCTCCGTCTTCCAAATCTCCAGGACCACCTTCCTGAACGACAGGTGCCACATCCACCACTCGCTCTTCTGCAGCCGACACAGTTCCGATCTCCACATTGGGAATTTTTTCTTCTGGACCCACCGATTCCACCGCTGCCACACCCTCAGAAAGCACTTCCATTTCTTCCCGATCCAGATGTTGAGCTCCAGCGATGTCTGCTCGGTTTCCAGGAATCTCCTCCTCATCAGGAGAACCCGAGGTCGGGGCGTCACCACCAGCCCTAGGACCGCTATCCCTGATAGTAAAGGAAAAATCTTTTTCACCTAAACTATTTACACTACCCTGGAATCCCCTCGTAGACTCAGGCGTCGGAGTAGAGGATGAAGAACCCAGTGCAGCCTCCCTTTCCAGCTCATTGCCCGAAGGAGACCCAACCACCTCGTCACTCTTCATCTTTTCACCTACAACCGGCAATGTCCACTTGCTTTCCTGCGTATCCAGGCAGTAATAATATTGTCTCCCATCTTCATGGAGGTGCCATTCCCGCATTGTGCCATCGCACGCTTGGATCAGATGCTCATCTTTCCGAAAACCATCCCTTTCAGAGACCTGACGCATCTCATCCTCTTCTTCTGACAACTGTCGCAACCTTTCAGCCTCCATCTGTAGGATCTCCTCCTCCCCCATGGCGTATTCAGCAGCTGGTGCAGCTTCAAAGCTGTCCGCACCCTTCTGTTCGTAACCGCTTCCACCACCTTGGGAACTCGAAGATGGATCCCCTTTAATCTTGTTCAGAGGCCTCCTGGCCGCTTGCAGCACTTCTCCAATCAGATCGGTTTGAGACCCTTGGTCTACCATTCGACCCGAAGTCGAAGTCGACGGCTGATACCCGTGTTTTTGCAACACTCGTAAAACAGTCACCTCCATTTCACGATCTATACCACCAGTCGCGTCCCAGTTCCTTTTTTCACCAGGCTTTGGCGATACAGAGACAGCACGTCCTTCAGCTTCAGCATTGCTAACCATATCCACATTGGGATTCATACCCACATTGGGGTCTTCTGCAACCAAGGCTTCTTCCAGATGTTCTTCAGCGCCAGGCATCACCTCTTCCAGCACCGCTCTTTCACCCAGAGACTCAGCTGCACCATTTCCAGCTCCACCATTCTGTCCACCATCCGAGGAAGGCTGGAGCCATCGCTTGGGAGAAGGCATTGCTTCTTGATCCCAAAAACCTTAAGAGAACACTCAACCGCAGGGAACCTAATTTGGGCTCATAACCTACGGGGGCAACCGAAAGGGAACAGGGAAAGAAACCAACCCTCAGCAGTCGCCTATATGGATTTCCCAGATCGAACCAGAAACAAGAACACCCACCCCTACGGGGACAGGATAAGGGAGAAGGGACGGGACTACTCCAACCCGTTAAACCCAACCCCAGGCGTACGTACTTTTTCAACAAAAGCTGACGGCTCTTGGCCATCTTGAGCCAAATAAGATTTCCGGGTTCATTGACCCTTCCAACCCTCAACACTAACTCCTTTCTACAATACCAATTGCAGCTCCGCAAAGGAAACCCTTATCGCTAGAGGATATTGGCTGAGACGCCAGCCCGGCTTGATGTCACTCCCTAGCATGTGACAAGGTGAGAAGACCTATGCGCCTCAACAAAGTTTGATTAAGCAAGGGTGCTTGGCTACCCCTTCGAGGGATCAGGCCGTTTCGATGAGAAACCACGCTTTGATAAAAAAAAACCCAAGAAGATACAAGTAAGCAAGAAAGAAGTGACAACTTACCGCGCCGCTTGCTTCCTACTCAATCGCCAGAGTTGTAGCAGCTTAAGCTGTGGTATCGAGCATACAGACACGCCAATCCTCCCCGTATCCTTCTATTGCATACTATTGCTGGATATCCGAAATATGCCAAACACAGTTCTCGCTGAATGGAGCCTTAGGTGCAGGATGCGAGCGGCATATATCGGCCAGTTGGCCTCGGGGAGGCCAGGGGTTGTGCTACCTGGGGTTCAGTTCACCTGCTTAGAGCTTCGATTTTTGGTGGAGCTCGCGCTTTAGATCTCAGTACTTTGCGAGAGGGGCTCACAAGCAAACCTTGCAGCACCAAGCCATTAACACCACCCTACAATGAAATCAAAAACTCCCGTTGCCTCAGGATTACAGAGGCCGGCCAGTGCACCGCAATCGGGACGTCTGGGTAGTCCGTGTCGCAGACGCCCTGGGCACTCCCGGGAATGCTCCTGGTCATGAATTCCGCGTGTGGATTTGTAGGGCTCTGTTGTTACATTCAAGGCTAGGGGGTGAAAGCCGAGGCTTCTGTGGCTGCAGACGCATTGGCCGAGGTTGTTCGGATTCGGCTGTGTAGGCTGCGACGTCACCTTGGGAACGAAGACTATGAAACCCTGTCCTGCATCTTTGAGCTTGGCCGCAGGCTGCAGGGCCGCAGCGAATTCAAGCAAGCCGAAGAGCTGTACAGGGAGTCACTGCAGGGGCTCCGGAGACTCTTGGGCGAGGACCATCCAGAGGTCCTCGTAAACATGATCAACCTGGCGACCGTTCTGGGGACAAGGCCGGAAGCAGTGGCCATGCTCCGGGAGGCCTTGAAGAAGACAAAGGCCATCCTCGGTGAGTACCACATAAATACTCTGACGTGCATGGCCAACCTTGCTGAACTCCTCATTGTTGGGAGCAAACTCGAAGAGGCACAGCTTCTGGCGGCCGAGTGCTTGGAGAAGCGTCGGGTAGCTCTTGGTGATGGGCACCCAGACACCTGGTGCAGCTTGCATCTCCTTGCCAACATTTGCAGACGTCGCTGCTACGGGTCAGGGTCCCAGTTTAGGGCAAGCGGATTCTGCGAAGCGGAGCAGCTTCTTCGTCAGTGCATGGAGAAGCGCCGTGCGAAATTTGGTGAATCGCATCCGATCACTATTTCGACCATGGTCCACCTGGCGCAAGTGCTGGAAGATCAGGACAAGTCGGAGGAAGCTGAGCACATGTATCGTGAGGCCAACGAGAAGAGTCAGGCCAGACTCGGCAAGTCGCACGAAATGGCCCTGGATGGCCTCGGCTGCTTGGTGTCGTTCTTACTGAAGCATCGCAAGTTGGAGGAGGCAGAACAGCTGTGTCGTGATCGGGTGGAGGGGAGCATGGCCGCTTTGGGCCACAAGAATAAAGAGCACATGATCGACGCAATCAGGAGCCTGGGGAGAATCTTGACACAGCAGAACAAGTTCGCCGAGGCAGAGGCCGTTCATCGCGAGGCTGTTGAGAAAGCCACCATGGGCGAGAACAACGTGACCACTCTGCAATGCAGACACGACTTGGCATTCACCCTTCAGGCACAGGGTAAGCTCGAAGAGGCAGCGATGCTGGCGTCGGAGTGCCTTGAAGAACGTCGCACAATGCGTTGTGATGCGCATCCGCACACCCGGATTATCATGGGCACTCTTGCAGACATCTGGATGCGACAGCGCAAATTCCAGGAGGCAGAGACACTGCTGCGTGAGCGCCTGGACATGTGCCAGACTGACCTGGGTGAGTCTCACTTAGTCTCCATAGCCTGCTTGTGCAACCTTGCCCTATGCCTGCAGAAGCAAGGCAAACTTGAGAAAGCTGAGCCACTGACTCGGAAATGCCTGGCAGCGAAGAAGGCCAGGCTGGGCGATGAGCACCAGGCGACTATCATCGAAGTGAACAACCTGGCAGAGCTCCTGCGCAAGAAGGGCAACCTTATGGATGCGGAGCCGCTGCACCGCGAGGCTGTGGAGCGGGGCTTCGCAGTGTTGGGCGAGTTGAATCCGCTCACAATCTGCTTCTCATTCAACTACGCAAAGCTGTTACATGATCAAGGCAAGCTGGAAGAGGCAGAGTCCATCCACCGCCAAGCCTGGCAGCAGCGCCGCGCACAGCTTGGCGACTTCCACCTGGACACCCTTGACAGCATGCACGAACTCGGGCGTTTGCAGCAGGAAAGAGGCCACCTAGAGGAGGCCCAGTCGCTGCTTCGCAGCGCCTTGCAGCAGCGCCAGGCAAAGCTTGGCGACGCGCACCCTGACACGCTCAGCAGCACCTTTCACTTGGCTGCCACGCTCGAGATCCTGAGACAGTTGCATCCGGCAGAGCAGCTTCTCCGCCAACAGGGCGACAGCCACCCAGAGACCCTCAGCTGGTCAAAGGATGCGGCATGTGCTTGTCAGAGCAAAGTCCTTGGGGAGCTGAAAGTTGCGGGAGCCTGAGGTGCGACATTCCCGGCAACAAAAGCTCCAGTTTTAGTTCTTTCTTTGTACAGATGGATTTTCATCGGCACCGACCGCTGTAGACTGGCTCATAAGACAGCCAGATCGGAGCGGCGATTCCTTCGTGCCGGCTTGCAAATGACAGCAGCTCCGACAACGGTTTCCCCCCACATAGAAAATGCTTGCAGGCGGCAGGTTGAAGACGCAGCCTCTCCCTGGACTACAGCCTACACGCTATGCCAAGTTTCTGGCTTAGACGTCTTAGAAACCTGAAACCCCCAACCCCCATTTCGCAGCCCTTGAGGCCAAACCCCCAACCCGAACGAAAAAGAGAAGGAGCGCCGCGAGCTACACAAAGAGCTGGCCGAGCTCCGTTCGGAGCAAGCCCGCACTGAGGAGGGGACGAGGGTCTATAGGGTTTTGGGTTTAGGGTCTATAGGGTTTAGGGTCTAGGGTTTAGGGTTTAGGCTTTAGGGTTTGAGAAAAAGAAGATATAGGGTATGGGGGGGGGGGGTCGGGTTTAGGGCTTAGGGTTTGAGGCGGGACGTTTGGTTATTTTGGTTTGGGGATATTTCGGGCTTAGTTTTTTTTTGTTGGGGGGGGGGGGGGGGGAGCGGACTGTTGCAAGATGATCAGAGAGGCTTCTACCTGACCTCACGTAGGTTTGTACAATTTCCACATGTGGGTAGTTCTCCAAATAAGGGCCCCTTTTTGGGGATCCCCTTCTTAAAGGCTGCCGCCCTTAGAATCGGTACCCAAAAAGGGGCCCTAATTTAGGAAGCGACCTCATGCACATGAGCCATGATCACCAGTCTGGCTCCGGGGGGTTCCAGGAATCGGTGCGTGACCCATTTTTGCCACGAGCCACGGGGTGGATCAAACTGACTGGGCTGGATTGGGGTTAGGGGTTTTGGAGTTTTTGCGGTTTTCGGGTTTAGGGCTTTAGGGCTCTAGGGCTTTAGGGGTTCGGGTATCTTTGGGGGTTTAGGGCATTAGCGGGGTTAGAGAGCAGGTGATCTTCGGGTGTGAGCTGCAATCCTGAAATTCTCCCTTAAACTCTGAACAGTGCCGTGGCGAGGCATCTGAGACACTCCTGCAGCCTCTGCAGGACTGTGTCCAGTCATTGGCTTTGGTGACTTTGGTGGAGTTCGCCTCGCAAATGAGCAGCATGCCGGTTTGAGCTGTAATCTTTGTGGTACTTTACCGTAACTTTAGATCCTTACATTTTTTGGGGTTATTGGGCTTCTTAATCAGGCAGCTAAAATTTTAAAATTTTAGCTACCCTCCTAAGTGCAGCCAAGTAATCTATTGAATCAAGTATATGCAAGTCTTTCACCTTGACAAAGCAAATCTGAAGTGGCATCTGGCGGGTGCCGTAAACCGTGTAGACATCAAAAGACCCAATGCTTGCACCGAACCTGGGTGGGCACCACAGGACATTCGGGAGCACTTCGAGGGCCAGGCAGGGATGAGTACAAAATGTAGGGCAGAAGGGTGTGCATGGGTGTGACGAGAGTACAGATGCTTACGGTAGTTCCGGTGCTACAGTCCGGCCCAGGTTGCAGAGGTGAAGCAGGAGCTTGTCACGCAGCTGGCTGTGGAGGGCTCAGCAAACTGGTTGGTGCTTGTCGATGACCCTACCACTTCCAAGCGACTACACAGCGCGTGCGATCAGACGCGACAAACTGCTGACTGCTGATTCTTGATTTGTTTCCTTCAGCGCAAGGATATTCAGGAGCGAAATCGGATGCAGAGTGGCCAGCGTCTTACAGATTACTTGAGCACAGTTGATACTGATGAAGTCACCGATTTGCGCGCACGATCTTTAGCCGGGGACAGGGCACATGCGCTGCTTGGCCTAGGCGAGGTGCAACTAGAGATGCGGCAGCTGAGAGATGAACTGAAGAGGCCATTGCTGAAAGCAGCAGCGACAATGATTTCAATGAAAGCAATAAGCCGAATAACGACATCGTAGTAACAACAATCAGCAGAACAATGGCAAAACATGCCAGTAAGAGGGCTAACGCTCAAAATATCAAGAACAACAAAAATTCCCGACATCAGCAGGTCTACTTGGAACAACGACAATGTGTTAATCATGTTACCATATCACCATATGTATGGTTAACAAATGTTACGGTTCTTACTATCATTATGATTTTGATTTATACTGTTCTTATGCTTCTAGCTTTGCGATTTTTTTACTGTTGCTACGCTTATTACTATCATTCGTCTGTCTTATCAGCCTAAGACGGCCTCTAAACCCTAAACCCTAAACCCTAAACCCTGAACACCTCCGATGCTCTTAAAGACGTAGCCCCCGGAGGTGCCAGGACGAGCTGTCCAGTAGCCAGGTGGAGTTCAGAGCGCTCTCCATGCTCTACGACAAGGCAGGATGGGTTTAGGGCCTTTCGGGGTTTAGGGTTTAGGGTTTAGGGTTGAAGCGTTTAGGGTTTAGGGCCTTTAGGGTTTAGGGTTTGGGGTTTAGGGTTTGGGGTTTAGGGTTTAGGGTTTAGGCGGCCCCAGGCCCCAGGGAAATTCGGGAGGCTTCGGATGCCGAGGAAGTTTGTGCTGAAAGCTTAGGGCTTCTGCAGATAGTTGCCGGGGCAGATCCGGGCGAGCGGGCAACGGGCCTTATACTCGCCCCGTTCGCCAGGAGCAGCGCGAGAACTACCGCCTGCGACAGACTGCCTGACTTGGTTGATTCCTGGCCAATCCCCCCTTAACCTCAGAAATACACATAACACGAAAGGCACAGGGATCCTTGTTATGAGTTATGTACGTATTTTCCTGGGACTTTCGTGACAACATGCGGCACATGACAGGGAGAGGCAGCAAAGCGAGATGGCCTCCCGTCGGCAGGAGGCTGGGGGTCGCAAGCGTGAAGGTTCTACGGACCGACCCAGGGGCCCCGAAGCCCAAAGCCCCAAGCCCTAAGCGCAAAACCCTAACAACCGGGGGGATTCTCTAAGTTCGGGGCCCTGCTTGGGTACCCTATATCTTCAAGGCTCCATCTTGTCATGGGAGCCCAGAGAAGGACCACAATGTTGAGAAACCACCAGCTGTCACATGAAGCAGGTCATTCCAGTGGAGCCTGTACCCAGCGATGTGGCATCTGAGCTTGGTTGGATTTTGGCTGAGAGTCGGACTCGCTTCGCCTACATTGGGGTCCCTTTTTGGGTACACATTGTAAGGCGGCACCCTTCAAAGGGACCACAATCTAGGAAACTACCCCCAAATGGTCTCAGTCTCCGCCAAGGCGAACCCGCATCCCACTCTGACCTCAGCTGATTTCTCGATGGTGCATGCCTCAGTCTACTGCAACATCTGTTGCAACGCGTTCCTCTAAGGCAGTGCCCACCCACTTACGTGCTCTGGAGGACACCACCGTGGCCACCGATATCCTGCCTGTGGCCGTGGCTTCACCAGAGCGTGCGCACGAGGCTTCATCACAAGCATAATGCATGTGGCTGGCTAGAACTCATGTGAAATCAGCATCTCCTGCCACTCAGCGCTGCCGTAGATTGCCTGCACAGGTTGCACCGCCTAGCACCAGCAACTCTATCACCATGGTGGTTGAGGAGAGCCAGCAGCAGCCTCAGCAGACTGTGTCGGGTATTGGCCTGGGCAAGGGGGCCGGTGCGTCGCAGTCAGCTAGTCAGATTCACGACGTACCACAGCAGTGCTGGAAGGCATTGCTTCAGCGGACATACTTGAAACTTGCTTCGCGCTGCCATTCTCAGGGCGGCGGCGCAGCTGCAGGCGAGGACATCAAAAGAATGGGGGCTGCATCCTTGATTTTGGGTTCTAGGCCACGTGGCCGTGCTTCAGAAGCACACTGGCCCTTAATTAAGCAGCAGCAGAGTTGCTGACATGAACCACCAGTCGACACAAGGAGCTCCAAGGAACTCGCAACCCTCTAAACCCCGGAAGACCTTACATCCTGGAAGAAACCGAAGCCCCGCCAAATCCCGAGAAGCCCCTAGGTTCCATTGAAATCCCCACGACACCCCTAAACCCTAAACCCTAAACCCTAAACCCCGAAAAAACCCTAAACCCCATTGGGCCCTCCATGCTTCCATAAGCCAGGTCCAAGGCATCCCGGCTCCGCTGCCCGCGCCCTCCGCGGCCGTGAAGCAGGCTACTTGTAGCATGCTTTTGTTTTCGGAGCGAATCCAAGTCTGTATATGTATGTATATACATATACTTATGCGCATAGTTAAATAAGAACATTGAATTGAATTCAATTGAAGTAATTAAGTAGATAACTATGTATATATATATATATATGTACTTATCTGTCTATGCTTCCTTGTAAATATTGAGTGTCAGTCAGAGTGTGTGTGTGTGTGTGTATGTATGTATGCATGGATGTATGTATGTATACAATATATATATATATATGCATATATATATATATATATGTGTGGATGTCTTTTGGGGATGCATCAAACAAACATGTTACCCACAGTTCGGGGCGAGGAGGCGTTGGGGATGTCAAGAGCTTTGTGTTGGCACAGCAAGGAAGAGTGGACAGCATCTTCACGTCGAATCTTGAGTCATCATCTGGGTTTCCTATATCCCCCTTGGGGGATTATTTTTTGGTTTATATAAAACCCAAGAGGATCTTAAAGCATATCATTTTTATGAAGGCTCTAAGGGGAGTATAGTTTCCAGGTGGGGATGAAGATCAAGTCCGTCGCGGGCTCAGAAGAGTTCCGCTGGGCTGCCGGCATTGTTGGCGACGTGTGGCATGGCACAGTTGGCACACGTCCAAGAGCAGAGATCAACCGCGTCCTTGCCTGTTCACTGCAAGGTTCAGGACGAGGGCCGAGAAGCCCCCGCCGCGCCACCACTGGTCCCAACTCCAACGCAGGCGTGAAGCGCTTCTTGATGTATCTCGATGATCGGCGGTTTTCGGCAGGCTCGGCAAAGCATTCCGGCTGTGCCGGGCTCCAAGGGGAGACGTCAGCTCCAATACTCAAAGATCATTGAAAGTC